GAATAAATGATGAAAAATTTTAATTGGAAGACCAAAAGAAACAGGGCCTGCAATTTGGAGGACTAAAATCATATTCAAACCTTTGATAATCTTTCAAGGGACCGTGTTAGTCAAATCCACATGGTAAATACTGAGTAGACCACCGTTTTTCACATCACCAATGTCACTAAGAGCATCTCTAGTGGTGGTCTCTTAACGAGTTCTTGACTTGAAGAAACCAAACCATTTTCCACCTTTTCTACAAAGATCCCTATAATTTCAACAACCTTCACCATTTAAAATTTAAAGGAATTTTTACTTACCTGTGTTATGTTCTTGATTTTTTTTTTTTTATAAAACTTACGTTAGACATCACTATGCACCTTGACATCTTAGTTAGGGGGACACCCCAAGATACATTTATCATTTGTCATCACATAAAAAAATTATTAAGAATAAAGAAAAAAAAAACTCATGGAGGGACCACAGCGAAACCCATGAACAAAATACAAGTCAGCTATAAAAGCTATATACAAACTAACTGGCCCTATAGATAGGAAAAAGAAACCTGTCATGAAAAAGGTTCAAACTTATAATAGCTGGCATAAGTGTGTACCATTTAAACACCTCCCTATTAGTCAAATCTAAACTCTCCAACTTCACACATTCTCTATTTTTGTAAAATAGACATTCATGTAAGAGTTTATGTGTAGAAAGATAACATGTGCTTACCTACATTGAAATTAACTGTAAAGAAGATGACAATAATATTCTTTTTGTCACAGAACCTATATTTATTATAGTGGCTAGACAAGATGGATAAATATTGTTTGATTCTAATGGCAAACGAAATTTAAAGATTAAGTGGATGGAAATAATCTTGTAAATAATTACTGATGGGGAACTGATACAGTGGGTAATTTGTGTAGATGTTTGCAGTTTATAATTGAGGAATGTGTGATATAAGACCATATGGAAGCAAGGATGAACAGTTCAGAAAAATGAAATTTAAACAATCAGATCACATGGTTGTCACTAATAATTTATAATGATATGCTGCTATTTTGTCATTCATGTCCTATTTATATATGTAATGGGTTTTGGCTTTTGGTTATAGTTATTGAATTCAAACTTACTAAGTTTTATTTAATTATTGCATTGCCAGGTCAAGTTGCATGCAGAAAAACAAAGAGGTGATGAATATGAAAGGAAATATGCAGAAGCTCAAGGATCCAATGAAGAGTTACGCAAAATATTAGCAGAAACTGAAAAAAGAGTACATCAGATTCAGGACACTTGGAACAGGTAGTATTAATATATCCCTTGCAGATTCATGTAATCTAGCAATTTTTTATTTTCCAATACCAAAACCCATCAATAAGGTTAAATATAACCAAGAGGAAAAGGGATAGAATAAAGGAAGGAGTGAGACAGCTTCAAAGTAAATATGCATATATTATCTTTGTATTTCTATGGGGTATATCATCTTTCAACTGAATATAGAACTTGCATAAACAATTATAAAACCATATGATGGTGCTGAAATGATCAAATCGTTCTGTCAAAATTCATAAACTCTATCTTAGCATACATGCATATTATTACGACATGATTGTTTCAAGTTTAACAGATGTTGATAAGTCGTGCTTTTCCAATTTATACTATTTAATCATATGAAGTAACTAATTACTTTTTATTGACTTGGAAAACTTGTAGGATTGATTCAACTTCTATAGAAATATCTGATGATATATAAACAGTACTATAATCCATGTTGCAAAAGAATTACTACACACTTAGACTCCAAGGGTCAATAATATATTTAAGGTAAATTATGGGAATAGTATTTAGAGTTTCTAAATAAATAATTCTAACGTCTGTTGAATATGCCAAGTTTAGACAGTTGCTTATTAAAGGGGGGTAAAGGCAAAACTGTAGAAGAAAAGTTTGGCTTCCTTCCCCTTTAGGCATAATCCCTTGAATTGAATGCGTCTTACAACCATGAAATAAATTTCTTAATTAAATTAAACTTATAATAACCGAATTTACTAACCGCATTAATTTTCCCCAAAGCATCTCTTCAGTAATCATAAGGAGAATCGATGCATGAGAGGTGGAATTGATTTTTTGTTCCTTTGGCACCCTCTTGATGAATATTTCAAACACTTCGTTTATGCATGTTAGGTAGCTCTGAAGTTGACGTTTGGGAAGAAGATTTAAAGTCAGCCCATATTTATGAAGTGTTACTTTCGAAAGATATGCTTCAATATCCAAAAAATTTCAGATTTTATGTTGTACATTTTCAGTATTTGTTAGAATGACTGGAAGCAAATGTCCAATATACTATTTCATGAGTCATGGCCTGATGTGCTCAAAAGCCTATTTGAAAAAAATAAATACCAAGATAACAGAAATCATATTTTGTTGGGCTAAATGAACATTATGTTTAAACTTCAAAAAATATGGTCTGGGGGCGACGTTAAACAGGGTTTAGTTTAACCATCATGACATTCTAATTTTTTGTCTGGCTGCCTTATATGGAAACCACTATAATTTGAATTATGACTTTTAAAACTGAATTCTATTTGATTAATGCTAGATCTGAATTAGTGTGTATCAGGATGATATCTTCCATGTCAAATCAAGTTGCCGCCGATCTGAAGACGATCTTGAGTACTTCGTCAAGATTGAGTTCAAATTTTCGACCTATAGCTAGGGTTGACGTTGCTTCTAGTAACTCTGATACTTCGTCTACAGACTCTGATTTCACATTTCCAGCTACTGCTTCAAATCCAGAACCTCAGGAGTCAAATTCTTTCCCGCTAGTAGTTCAGGATGTCACTGCAGGGGATGGATCGGGTTAGTCCAACTTTCTCCACAAATGTCAATGTACTAATAATCTTCCCATCAAACTTTGCTTACTGCTTTAGAAAATAATTTGGTTGTCATAGGGAGTAAAGCCAATATATAAAGATCCTGTCATGTATATTATAAATGTAACTTTTTAAATATGAATAGAAATACTCTTTTTGAGAGATTCGCATCCTTTAATCTTGGAGTAGAATATCAAAGATAAGGTGTAGTGGTAGTAGCGTTGTAGGACTTAACAGATTCCTGTATCTATAGTGATATTTGAATTTTGTCATGTTTCCTTTTATTTGAATTGTATTTTTGTAATCTATGAGAAGAAGAAAATAAGATGAGTCTGACAGTATCATTTGTCCTTTTCTTCATGGTTGCATTTTCAGGATCTGAAAGTGGAAAGGAGGGTTCATTTGATGATTTCTTCTAGTAAAACTTGTTTTTTTATATCGTGCTTAAATTTTAATATCCTCGGTGTCTCTGGGGAAACAAGGAGGAAAAATAGAAAGATATGGAGGGTGGCATCTGTTAGGATTGTTCATTCCTTCTGCCACATACACTAAAACATTTGTAGATACACACAGTTCATCCCAGGATCTTGTAGAACAGTAAGGTAGAGATAGCAAAAGTGTCAATCTATGATGAACCCATTTGACGAGTGTTTCACCATGTTGACATCCCTTCTGAATTCTATATTATTTGATGTCAAATGACACACAGTAACAATTTTGTATATAACATTTCCAGAGGTTTTTCTGGTCTGCTGTTTTCAGCCTTACTAAGTTGTAACCACCCTAAACTCTGACTTTTACAAATAGCTAGGTATCTTTAACTTTCATCTCGAACCCTGCTCTTAGTAAGAGTAAGAAAAATAGAGACACTGAAAAAGTTCAAAGTCTGCATTTGTAAACCACACAAAATTTAGGGTGGTTGTTTATTCTTTTCTCTAATAAAAAGAAAAAAAAATGTTCAGTATTAATGGTGTTAACAGTATAGTCTTTAATATTTAATTTGACAAATTAAGAAAAATATTGTTTTGATAAGAAAAAAAAAAGGTTGAGATAATTATATTTTTATATCGTTTAAAAAATAAGGAAATTTAAATGTTATTCTTATATTGTATCTTCACTAAAGGAAATACGGAAAAATTTAAGTGCAAAAGAAAGTCAAATAAAATATATTTCCTTAAGTTAAAGATATCTGGAAACTTTTAATTGTATACAAATTATAAATAAGAATTATTTTAGATAATAAATTGTCCTAGTTGCGTCATGTATTAGTGCATTTCATGTTTGGATAGAAATTTGTATATATTAAGCTTTTTTATAGAGAATATAAAATGTATAACAAAATGTATTGTTTGAATAAAAAATGTAGGAGAATTTGTAATTTTAAAATTTGATAATAATTCAATTATATAAAATGAGATCATTTCAAATTATAATTATCAAATAATAATTTCAAATTGTTTCATATATATATATATATATATATATATATATATATATATATATATATAAATTTGTCTCTTCTCTTTATAATCGCTTTTTTAATCGATCTTAAAGATATTGTCGTCTTGAGATTGTATTTTCAATTGATATTGATGAGGATTTTTCATGTGGGAGGTTTAACATTTTTTTTTCTTTTGTGATCATAGTTACTTATTTTTTTCATTAATGTAATCAATATATTTTTTGATTGATATTTTTCGAAATTTTCTTAGTCAACACCAATGCTGTTTCTTTTTGTTAACGTCATGGTTAATTATTGGTTGATAAATATTGTTTTTTTTCTTGTATATATCAACAATGTTATTTTATTTTTTGTGCAAAGTTAGTTAAGATATTTTTAGTGTCACTTCAGAACAAACTTTTGATCTCCATTGACTAGATTTGTTGTCTACGTTTAGATTTCTAAGTTATAAAGACTGTTGATTAAATTTGTGGTGAACGAGAAATATGTTAAATTGGGTGAGTATGCTTAATTGTTGTTTGAAATTGTGGGATGTTTGAACGTGAGTATTGAAGTTTGAGCAATTGACTTCTATGGTACACTTTAAAACTGATTTGGCACCAATTCAAATTTATAAGAGGTAGAAGTACTAGTTAGAATCAATTGAGCAAGTTGAGATGTCCACATTCACTAGATTTTTGATATGGAGATAGGCGGTGTGTTGATATTAAAGTACCTAACAAACATTAGAAGTACGAGAGATTGAATATTGTTAATAGAAAACTTTTCATGTAATAGTAATTTTCGAGGAGTGAAAGATTTTACGCAAATAGTTAGATGCTTGACTTTTTGAAAAAAAAAATCTTTTCAAGTGCTTTTCAGTTGTTAGAATATTTATGTAACATTCCAGATTATATAGAAGCATATAATATAGCAAGTCCACATTTAAATAAGAGAGAACAATTAAAGTAGACTGTAAATGAAGTTGATAAGCTTATAGTCATCCCAAATTGAGTTAGAATTTAAAACTTAGCATACTAGAGTGTTTTGAAAGATAAGGAAACACTTAAATTCCTAATGAAACTAAGCAGCGACATTGTCTTCCTCCAAAGCCTGCTCCAGAGGCACCTCATTCATCTCTGCTCACATCCAAGTGGATGATCATTGCAAAAGAAAGCATACCCAAACAAACACAAACACATAAGCAAGGGTGAGCTAGATATAAAATCATGTTATAACATTTACAAGCAACATGCAAATAAAGACAGATACCCTACACTTCACACACACGACTTGTTGCACTTAAACTTGACTCGTCCGGACTAGAATGATTGCCGAGCTATGGCGGGTTATGCACTCGTGGTGGCCTCTACTGCTTTGCAAAGCCATTGCCAATGGGTTTCACCCTACCAAACTCACAAGGTTAGTCCGTTATCACTCACCTTGGGCCGTACTAGAAGCACCCAAGACTAGGACCTCCTGCTACTCCTCACCACATGGATCAATCCTCTCTACTTGAGAATGAAAGACCATTGGAGCGTCAGGAAAACCCCCAAGACTGAGCTACCATGCGAATCATTCTAAACGTTAAGGGCACCACCATGAAGCTTCTCCTTAAAGATAATGGAATTACGTCCAACACTATAGGGCACCACCATGTGACCTCCCTTTGATATCCATGGAATTACGTCCATCAACCATACTAATACAACCATATACTTTCAATCACCAAACATGTTTCACATACTCACATACTTTTAATATAATCACATCATACTATGCATTGCAAACACCTCACGCACTTGGTTCAACAAAAAAGAGAACAAAAGAGAAGACTGGACTAAAAGGGTTCGCACATCACACCCTATTCGCAAGGCGAGACAAGAGGATCTCGCACAGCGCACCCCTTAATTCGCATAGCGAATTAACTCGCATAGCGAATTAACTCGCATAGCGAATTAACTCGCATAGCGAATTAACTCGCATAGCGAATTAACTCGCATAGCGAATTAACTCGCATAGCGAATTAACTCGCAGCAAGCATCAAACTTCAAACCTCTCGCATAGCGCACCCAGGTCACTATGCGAGAGCCCAGACAGAGACCAACCCCCCTAAAGCTCTTGCTATCCGCCCCACTCGCCCTTCGAATTAAATGGGCAGTGGTCCCAGACCACCACCAGTCGCATAACGACAAGATTCGCCAGGCGAATCCACAACAGAGAGCAACACCCTCTGGTAATTAGCACAGCGCACCAGCTCGCACAGCGAATTACCCAAACAGTAAGCACCCTCTATAGGGTCTCGCTATGCGAGACAGCTCGCATAGCGACTCTGGATCATTTGCAGAATCACACACTCACACCAGTCCTTACCATTTCTAGGCCTCTAATCTTCACTCAAACAACATGGCCACATAAAGATCAACACATTTACACATTTCATAACAATAAAATTTAAGAAAACCTAGCTCCCTTACCTTGGAGTTGAGCAGTACAGTCCACTAAAATGCCCTAATAGTGCCCTTCATAGCGAGAACCCGAACAATGCCCTACAACCACCGAAATGGTGATGGAAACAGCTCTTAGAGCTTGGACCAAGTGGGAAAAACGGGAGGAAAATGAAAGCACAAGCCACATGCAACTACAGAGAATGCATGTGCTAGTTCAAGGACAGAGAAGAGCTTGCATGAAGGGGCTTACCGGCTTAGAATCCGAAACTGATCAGATGGTTCCGAAGCTCTCTACGCGGCGGATGTTTCGGCGTCACCTAAACGAAAATCCAGTGGTTCAGTGTAAAGAGATTGAAGAGAGAAGGATGAGAGGTTGTAGAGATATGACAGAGAAAAGAAGAGCTGAACTTTTAGAGAGAGAATGGAAAGTGGGCTAATTGGACTCAGATTTTTGAAAGGTTCCATCTAAGCCATGATGTCCTTAGTTTCATGGGTCTGGCTGCCTCAACCTAAGGCCCAACTGTCCTATATTTTCAGGCCCTTACAATTTATGCTGCAACATTTTAATAAAACTTCCTTTTTAATAACGAATTGTTTAATGAAGGAAGCGTTTATATCAAAAGTAAGTGAAAATGTAGGTTTTGTAAGAGAAGCGTTGAAGAGAATAAAGCAATAGGCATACAATTGTTTTTATACTAGTTCACTACACTGAGCTATGTCTAGTCTCCTTTAACACCTTAAAGGGTTCTACTATAATCTTCAACAAGATTACAACTAAGTATTCTCACCACTTTTGGTATCCCTAGTCAACGAATAACCGTTGTTACCCTGACTAGTTGAGTTTCACCCACTCCTGGTTGAGCAATATTCTTCACCAGTTTTGGTATCCTTTAGACGCTTCTGGTATGCACCTAATACATCATCTAGTTGAGTTTCACTCACTTCTAGTTTCTACTAGACAATCCTAGTATCAACCTAATATGTTGCCTAGTTGAGTTTCACCCACTCCTGGTATCAATATAATACGCTACCTAATAATCCTTTAACTCAACTAACAAGTGTTTGCATTCTCTTTAGAATGTACAATCAAACAAATTGCTTACAAGTCTTTAGACGATTACTCTCATAGAGAGAATATATGTTCAATACAATTCAATCAACAGTAAACTTATATAAGAATGAAGCTTGATAGTGTTTCTAGACTTGGGCTTTCTCTTTTCTCAGATATTTTCTTTTGAGTTCTTGAGTTCTTTTGTGCTTTTCTCTCGACGATATTTTCTCTTTTTCTCTTTGTATATATTCTCTTCGTAAGCTATTCTCTTGATTCTTTCTTCAAATTATCTTCTATTTAAAGGCTTCTCAAAATATATCCACTAAATATAGCTTTGGCCTTCATTCTTGAGTCTTCTCAGTCTTGTCATATGAAGCTGACATTAGTTAAAGTCAACTTGTCAGAGCAAACTTATTTTTTCAGTACTTTGATAAAAGTAGGTTGTACTATCTTTCTGGCACGATTGCTGATGAATAGAGCATTTTATGAATGTCTTCTTTGTTCCTAACGTCTATTTGTGATTTGTATCGGATGGAGTACGTTGATGCATGTAATAGAAAATCTGCACAAATTAGAGTAGATATGCATGCAACAAATATGTCTTTTCTCTTATTAATTTTATTGTTTTTGAATGTTAAACATTTAATGACATTTAATGCTTGTTTATAAAACAAAATGCTTTTTACCTTTTCTACTGTTTAGGTAGGATTTTATCATTTAAGCATCTCATTAAGATACCCAGCATTGATTGAAGACTTCATCGTTGGATGAAGTAGATCCTTTAACTCATGGTGTCGTCTATTATGTA